AGACTGTTTTTCTTCCTGCAATGCAAACCTGGTCACATCACAATAACTCAATAATTCAAATCATAATAAAATATCTCCTCTTCGAATAAACACAAACATGGCATTGCTTCAAAGTATGAAATCCACACAAGTTCTCTGCTTGTTTTAATGAGCTACCAGGTAGAAATAGAGGGCGATTTTTTCTGCATAGTTCGATCGATGAAATGTAAACAGTCATTCAGAGTGGTTTGATGTGAAATGTGATGTGTTTGGTGGTGAAAGGAACCAGATGTCATGATGTCTACAACACCATTTTATTTACAAGGGATGCCCCAATACTACTTTTCCCCATTCGATACTGATTCCTGATCCTTAAATATCAATAACAATACTAACTCTGTCTAAACTAATTAGCCTGTAAATCCTGATATTTATACAGTTCCACATTCTGTATATACAATTATATAATAAGTCATTTTAAATATTTAACAATTTAAGCAAATGTAAAGTATTTTCACTGTGCAGAGTAGTAAAAAACAGCCCTGAACACATTCAGATAAACCTTGTGCACAAGCTGGCAGTGACTTCTCTGGCTTCAAAACGTGTTAAATGCTGTTTTGTGACTGTTTCTCTTAAACGCTGGCATTTACAGCTATGAGCAGAATCTGCTCGAGTTCAGTAGATATTACAGTTATTCACTGTATCAGTACCACTGTTTCCAGAGGGTTTCTCAGCTTGATGGGAGCAGCAGGCTGTGAGCCCACGCCATCGTCTGATGCAGCTGACCGACAGAGGCCAGTGGAAACACTAGCCCAGCTAGCGGACTGTTATGATGAAGAATATCATTAACTTAAAATACTGGCGGCATCTTTCATTTGTCTCTCTAACCTTCGCTCCATCGATAACAACCTGGATTCAACAACAACCTTCGGAGCATTAATAAGTAGCATTGATAAAAAGGTAAAATAGGGGTCACTTTTCTTTATTTTGCCTTACAACATCCTGCTTGTATCAGCCAATTTAGGCAAATTATTGGAATTATCTTTGATATAAAATTAGATCATCACCAGCAATAACTGCGACTAAAATCTAAACAAGCCCTCAAATACATCAAAACCTCCAAACACACAGTTCACAGAAAGAGACTTGTGGTTTTTTTGCTCAGAGGCCTGTGAGACTTCAGGGGACTAAAAGTCTAAGAATAGCTTTTAGGAAAATGTTTCACATTTACTCAAACATTCAGCTTCATAATAAATTATCAAGAACTTCTTCAAATGCTTGGGAATGACAGCAAATCATGTAGTAAAGCTTCTCTTAGCTTCGCTTCCTCTCTTAGCACTAGTGTGTAATGTTGAGAGCCACGTGAGCAAAAACTGAAAACAATGCATCTCGGTCTGCTGAGCTGCAGCGTCTCAAACCCAGAGCAGTGACATCAGCTCTGTGAGGAATCTGAATGGACTTAACAGGAAACAGTTCTGCAGCGATTCTCTAAACTTTTACTGCTAAATTTAGCTTCAAGTAGCGTCGGGCAAATCAAGGTCACTTACTTTTGTATTAAAAGGAGGAAAATGGCTGAGTGTAGATTTAAAGGGGAGTGTCAGAGTTCCCACATCAAACAGGCAGAACAGTCTTCTTTGTACATTGTCTTCCACAGACTGTACTTCTGCTGCCCCCCCACCTCTCTCCCCCTCCCTGTCTCTCTCTCTGTCTCTCTCTCACCCTCCCCCACCTCTCTCTATCTCTCTCTCTCTTACACACACACACACACACACACACACATTCATTCATTCTCATACTCAGAAATTATAGGTCTAATTAGGCTTGAGGTTTTTGAATTCTGCTTCGCGCTTTGTTTATTAGTAAAAAACTGTTGTGACACATTTTAGGATGCAAAAATGTATCTGCAAAGCTCAACACATCTGTGTTTATATACTTGAGTGAAGTCTGTTTCTGGCCTAAGTCAGGATCCACAGTCAGAATCTCCCAAGATTGGAATTGGAGGATTTCTGCTCAAAACGCAAAACCAGTCAAGTTATTATTTTGTTTTTTTTGGTTATTTTGATCTGTTTTACAATTTTGATTCGAACAATGTGAGCAAATAATTTTGTCACTGCAAGTTTGGCTAATAAAAAATACTGGAAACGTGTTGATATGATTCATCTGCTCCTCTGGCTCATACAGTGTATGTTTCCATTACAAAAAAGGCAAATAAAAATTTGCAAAAAACAGGACATCAGCAAAAAAAAAAACAAAGAAATCAGAACCGGCAATAAAAATGAATGATCAGTCCATCCCTGTTTTTCAGTATAGTAAAATAAATAAGACGCTTTTTAGCACAGCAGCCCAGCGCTGCCAAAACATTTTGTTCTTCCAGAAAACAAGAGAATATAGGGGTGGGAATCTCTGGGCACCTCACGATTCGATTACGATTCAGAGGGCTGCGATGCGATTATAAAACGATTATCGATGCATCTTTTTTCTGTATAGCATTTACATTTTCTCACTGTGTGAGCTCAAGTTTCGAGTTCAAGTTTCAAGTTTATTTGTCATTTGCACAACATGTCAGGACATTTATGCACTGAAATGCGTGTGGTGAGGCTCAGATAATCAGTCTACAGAAAGTAAATAAGTAAAAATAAAAATACAAGAAAAACCAACTAAAATATATTAAACATACACAAAATATACACAAAATATACACAGAATGTAGAGACAATATACATGTTAAAGTGACTAAGTGACTCGGTGTTGTTATTTAAAGTGACTTGGTATTTTAAAGCAAAGTATCTGTAATGATCCATAATGAATTTACTTCCAATATCTTTTTTAATAAATCAAATGGAAGTGATGTTGCAAGTGAACTAGAAGATTCTCATTCACTGCTCTTGTTTGGAGCACGAGAAGCTGCTGCTACTCATCTGCAATAAAATGCGCAGTTATGGTGAAATAAGATCCAGTGGTAATAGATGTCCATGCAGCACGTTACAGCTATTCTACCCGTTTTCTTTAGTGATTTCATAACTTCGGTTCTGGTCTCGTTGTAGAGACGGGGGGCGGGGATCGCTGTGTGAGTAGACGGGTCGTGTGCAGCATAGCACGAAAGCCCTGTTTTGCAACAACTGAGAACCAGCATGCAGACTGCAGGTCACATAGCAGCGATGCGTTATTCGCATTTATAAACTTCTGAGGAAAGGTTTTCTGGTGGAGATGGAAGGAAAGCGGCTATAGTTAAAGCTTAAGCAGAGCGAAGTAAGTCAGCATTTTCGTTTATATTGTTTAGTCTATACTAGGACATTATCACACACTGAGACATACTGGACATTAAATGCTGCAACTCCCAAGCTGGTTTGATTTTTGTTGAAAGGTCAAAATGGCTCTTCTTATCGTTTGTGTTGTGACTCCTGACCTGACCTGGCTTTAATGCAGAGGGAGCCGGTCGGATTTCTCACTCATCCAGTTGTGTGTTTGTTATGTGCCGCCACAGACTGTCCGGGCGCTGCACTTACCCACTTCCAAGTTCCGCCTTTTGCATTGCGTCAACATCACGTTATAAATTAAATATTTAGAAAATCGATTTTTGACATTTGTGAATTGATTCAGAATCGTTCACGTCTGCATCGCGATGCATCTAAGAATCGATTTTTCCCGCACCCCTAATAGAAAATGTCATCAACTACTGGTTTGAAATTTTGGTCAAATCATTTTGAAACTATAATCTGCTGTTAGTGATATGATTCCAACATCTCACATCCCTACGTTTAAGACTTAGAACCTTATATTTTAAATATGCTGATATATAAACAGCATGTGGCAAAAATCCATATCAAAGTGTCCAGACTCTGATTCTCACTGTAGGCAGGTCTGTCTACTACATAATCGCCAGTCGCAGTTTTTATTTGTGATTATTGTAATTATTTGAAACGCTGGCAATTATTTAATCTGACTGTAATCGCCTTCCATAGTTGTTAGATTTGACAGTCATATTCTGCTGTAACCAACTACATTTTTATCAGGTGCACTGAGTGAATGTAAATAATAAAAAGCAGTAAATGGATTCACAGACATGATGAGACTCATGATGGAAAAAAAAGTTCTCACTTCTAACTCTATGAGGGCCTCTGAGCTCTATGAGGGCCACGCAGAGCGATGTGTGTTTCTCTGTTAGCCACATAGCTAATTCTGACCTTTTCGGCCTGTATGCTGGCAGAATGAATGTTTTTTAGCTTACATTTTACTCTCGTGAAGAACATGTAGCTTTGCTTAACTGTACAGATAATTCTGTGTAACTGTAGACATTTGGGTGAGTACAATCAAGGTTAGCTACTAAGTAAATGCAGACAGCTGGTCAGGTGGCTAATCAGCCAGTTTGGCCACTTTAGCCTTGTATTTTAACAGTTGAAAGCAATGAACAAAACCATGAAACTGTTAAACACAATTATTTATACAACTATAAATCGTCAGCTAAGCTTTCATGATCGTGACAGTCCGAACTGTAAGAGAGACCAGCAGGAGAATTTAATATTATCATGCATTTAATTATAAAATGTTTTTTTTTTAATCAATGCTGTTTGTTCGACTGAGTAATCATGTTTTACGTGACCATGACAGCAATAACAGCTATTCAGCCCATGATGGCGACTCTGTGAACAGCAGATCAACCTCACCCCCTTTATTCAGCTGTACATCCCCTCGTTTAACCACACACACTCAGTCACTCTCTCTGTGACCTCACAACAGACAAAGTGTCCCTTGTGTGGGAGCACAGAGAGATGGGTGACAGTCTTATGCTGCTATGCATGATGCTGATATGCTCATGGTGGTTTGTAATTATGTAATTTACACTACTTAACTGGGATTAGGGACAGAAATAAGCTTTTACTGAAAGTAAAACAAGCTGTGCATCTGTTATTTTTGTATCTGTTACTGTCCGAATGTTAACAAAGTATAAACATCTCTGTACACAGTAAGAGATACAACTCCTTACAGCTTTATGAGATCAGCAAAAGCAGCAGTGTTCCTACCTGTTTCCAGAGGAACTCATCCTCCTGGTTGATCCTCCATGTCGTGAGGAGATGTATGCAAGAAAGCACCCCTCCGCTCAGCACAGCCGCCCGCATGCGCACTGGCAGCAGCGTGTAGATGATGTAGATGAAGAAGACGGACCACCAGATGCCTTCGGAGGCACTCCGGGGGGCCACCATCAGCACCCCGAAGACCTGCACGGCGATCAGCACTCCGATCACCAAGTAGCTGACCATCCACATGTAGTCCTGGTGGAAGCCGTTGCGGTTGCAGACCACCATGAGGGCCAGGAAGAGGGCCATGGCCACAGAGAGCACTGAGGCGTAGGCGACGTCAGGTGGCGCATGTACACAGTGAAAGGTGAGCATGACGCCACAAACGATGACCAGCACACCCATCAGCATGGTCAGCGAGCTCTGGTTGAGTCTGAAGAAATAGCGCTGGTAGAGGCGCTCCAGCTTGTGCGACTGGAATTTCTTGGACTGGAAGACGCGAACAACACGCTGCCAGCAGTCAGTTGCCGTCAGCGAGCCGCCACCGGCGAGGTCGTCCGCTGAGCTGTTGCGCCCCAGACCCTCGCCTTTCTGGCCTTTAGCATCACCGTCTTCGAAGCCCAGGTCCACAGATTTGAGCCCCACACTCTCTCCCCCACCCCCCCGCTTCCCGTAGTGGTCCTCCTGCCAACCGCAGCGCATGCCGAAGTTGCCACCTCCTCCTCCGCTTCCAGCCATGGCCCACTGGGGCTGCAGGTGGGCCGGCTGCGGAGGGGGCTCCATGGCCTCTGCGTCCCGCAGGCAGCTCATGTAGCGCGGGTTGCAGAGCGATGAGCCACCCTTGCGCTTGGACTTCTTGCCATTGCGCTCGCCCCACGCAGTCTTGCGGTCGTCCACTCTGGCTACTAGGAAGCCGTTGAACCAGGACATTCTGTATGGGGGGATAAAGACAAGGTAAAGAAACATCCCACCCGCAAAAAACATATTTGTCTTAAAGGGGAACTCCACTCAACGTTCAAAATTCCTGCATCATTACAGTGTTACAATGTAAACAGTCAATCAAGAGTGTTTTGACATGAAATGCACCATTTTAGAGAAATTAGAACTGTTCCCAGTGGTGGTGATGGGAACCCCTGATGTCTGAAAGGTTTAATGCCTCTAAAGTTTCTCTCACAGAGAGTTATTACATAAATTGTAATCATTTTGTATAAACATGTTGTACCAACATGTTGCCTGATGCCTGACACAGGTTTATGATAGTTGTGAGAAAATGTTTTGGCCTAAAACACATCTTTTTAAAATCAATTCATGGTGGAAATACATGCAGTGTGCTGTAAAGCAGCATATTTTTTTCCAGATTTAATACCACTGACCATCATCAACATCCCACACAAAACTCAGAAGACACTTAGAACTTCACCAAAAAAAACTGGTTCCTATCACCACCACTGTAAAGAAATCAGAGTTCGCAAGTTTTTCTACCATTTCACATCAAACCACTCAGAATGACTTTGTTTACTTTTATTTTTTATGTACATCAGCGTCAGATATGTCAGCATCCCAACTTTGCTTCTTTAGCTGGAGCTAATGTAGTTAACAAGTAATGGAAGCTTTCACTCCACCAATTAGCATTTCCATCAAACTGTGTCATTTCAGTTTAAGTAAGCTCAACTTGCCAGCTGCAGCAAATTTCAGCCAAACATGTTTTGGCTGATTGACTGCATTTGGGATAAAGGGAAAATATTTGTTTTTGCACAATTATCCCTTGAATAAGAACTCCATCATCTCTGCTTTGTGGCTACATTATCAACAGCTTTAAAGCCCCCGTCTATTCATTTTTATGACTTTCGTTTTTTATTTATAATTTCTGTGATGCTTTTACAGTGAACTGGCAGAAAAACCCTGTTGGTCTTTTCTGTTGAGAGATTTTTAACTCTTTTCGGACATTTTCATCTGTTCGATTTGAGCTGGTAGGACTAAATGTATCACAGGTGATGTTTGACCTGCTAAAGTACCAATCAGTGTTAAAAATATGTTTGTCAGTTACTCGCGTTCCTGTCCCTCACATAAAGTCACTGCTCTACCACTGCTTCTTAAACAAAACCCCAACAAGTAGGTTATTTAAGCTTTTCTAAATTTGTTAACGGTGCTTGTTCTGTTTGTAGCATAACTAGAAGCTGCTTCCTACCTGTATTAGCCACCTGTTGCAAGATCCTACTATAAGCATTTAACTTCATTTACAAGAACGTGATAGCTAGCAGTCAATGCTAACTGTAGGAATAAAACGATACCTTAGCTTCCCCTCCAGCATCAAGGCTCACAGTGTCCCCCCTTAACTGTACTTTACAGGAGAGGCACACACGAAAAAGCACGAGAAATTTCTCCACTGTGCCCGTAAACGTGACCGTGCCGACTCATCATGTGAGCTTGTGTTACCTTCATGCTCAGCGTTCAAATATGAGACACGAAGTGTCCCTAATCTGCCCTTTATAAGACAAACGTCTTAGTTCTCAAACATCAGCTGCAAACCAACTAGATCTCTAAAATCACCCTAAACAGCTTGTTCTGTTCTCAACAATCAGAGACTGGCTGAGAAAAGTGAGGCGAGTAAGGCTGAAATACACCAACTGACTGTTTCACTTAGCACTGCCACTGAAGTCAGGTTGTTTACGTTACCTGGGAGACGGCACTGTCAATCATTTGCGCTCTGACACGCCTACATATTTATAAGCAGGCTTGAAATTTTTGGAGCATTTATCTACTGAGAAGTTGTATCCATTTATATATTTCTTGAATATATGACTGGTAAACACTTTTTCCGCAGCATGTCTTTACTATCTAAACAAAAATTTAACCATTTTAAATCATGTTGTCAGGAGCTTTAAGGCTTCCATTGAAATATTATGTGAGTAGTGCATTAGTTTCAGCCTCATGTTAAGTAAATTGCTTGTTGGACAGACATATGAATAACTCGTAAATCTACACATTGATCATTGGTATCATAATCCTGCATGATGGTGTGGATGTTATAGATGTAATTACCTGTGTGGGTTCTGGTGTGCACCCCAGCCCTGACCTCTCCTGCTGGGTCACTCATTTATGTCACTGGGTGAGCTGAAACGGACGGATTAGGGATTTCGGAAAGGGCACTTGTCGTTACTGCTGACTGGACCGCTGAATTTGATGGTTCTGGGTTGGATGGACTGTCATTTAGTTCACATGGATCTTTGTGTCGTCTTGGTCTGTAAACAATAAACAACATTTAAAAACAATGTGAGAAACAAGCATCCAGTTTCATCAAAGGAATGAGGACGTCTGTGCATCAAGCTGCAAGTTATATGGTTTAATGCCAGAAACCACAGATTAACAGGCTGTTTTACACATTATTTATATATATAGTTTGCTGGTTACAACAAAGCTCTTGTAAGACATTTCATGAGGTTTTTGAAGCCACAGGGGCCATTAGTGTTTACAGAAGCAGCCTACTGCACCACTCATGAGCTGCTGAGCTGTTATTTATAACAACTCTTTCAATGTCATTAACATTTTCATACGCTGATTACAAAGACTGAAAAAAAGAAAATTACCCCAGTAAATGTCCTTCAACAGGAAAAGACTCTAATACAATTATATATGTGAGGCAGTTTTTAAGTCAACAGAGATTTCCTCATCAGTGGGTCTAATCAGCTCTCAATACATCAATCTTATAGAATACAAGCTAAAACAAAAAAAAACACTAAAACTGAGCTGTCAGAGCCGTCATCATCTCCCTTCCTGAATTTCAACTCAATCTGATTTCTGAAAATGTTCTAACATGGCTGTGGGTCACTAGGTTGGCAGGAAGTGACAAACTGCCAAATGTTTGAAAGCAGAACAACTACAGTGTGATGGGAGAAAAGAGATCAGGACACAGCATTAAGCAAAGTCAAGGGCTGATGCCAATATGTAAATAAATGCAGCACAGTTTGCATGTTGGGTTATTAAAATGCACAATATCCATAAATACATAAGTGGAAATACCATTCATTTTGCATTTTGTGGTATGACAGAGCACAATATCACTAAACACGTTCAAGTGCAACTCATTTTGCATTTTCTGGTGTGACCATGTTTAACATCCACATCTAAATCTCTACGGCTCATACAGCCATCACATCACAGCATCTGAGAGTCAAGCTTATACAAACTTAGGTTTCCATCTTTGCCCAACTATAATGTACAAGACAGACATTTCTCAACCATTAATGACATTATCCTTAAAGACTCATGACCTGTTTGCTGAAATCAGCTCCCGAGCAGCTATTTCTGCACCAGTGTCTTTATCAATAATCTCCTCTTTCATTTCTACACCTATTAAACGTTTAGAGTGTGTGCAGGCCACCCTTATAACATCATGAATAATAATTACAGGTAAATGACAAGTGATCATAACAAGCCTTTCCTAATGCCAGGCCTCAGTCCTCAAGCGACTGTTTGTACAGGACCTTTTCAATCAATAATCTCTTATAAACCTGTTTAATGTTAAATACAGTGTTCACGCCACCCTGAAGTCATACTGAGCAACTATCCCAGGGCAAGAGAGAAGTTATCATCCTGCCAAGTCTCTCCTAATTCCAGCCCCTACAATCAACTGGCTGAAAGGCAAATATTGACAGATATTAAAGAGACACTGTGAAATAAAACTAGCTCTGAGTATCTTATCTGCTGTGTGTAACACACTGTGGCGCAGCATTTCATTCCTGAGCTTCACAGTTTACAATTGTGCATCCTTTGTTTTTGTCTGTATGCTCTCACTACAATACCCATAATGCATTATGCAAATAGTGCAGTTTATACAACCACTGAGAATCACTGTGATTAAGAAATCCTACTGCTGGCGTAGCCAAGGTCGCAAGGCTAATAAATACAGGCGTGATATTCGGCTTGTTGTAGCCAGGTGAGCTACCTGGCTTCCTTCTCTATTCACCAACTCGAGAGAAACAGAAATCAGCCCACCTTACAGAAGCGCCCCACACCTGCTGTAGTGTTTCAAAAGTTCCTCCCACCTTAGAGATTCATGAATACAGGTGTTTTTCCCAGTTTTTAAACGGGAAAATCTCCACCCAGAAACAGCCGCGGCACCACTGTAGAAGACGAAGCAATCATTAGATTTTTCATTTTGGCCGGAGTGTCCCTTTATCTGATATTAGCTGAACAACCGGCACCAAACGATAAAAAGCAGGTTCTGAAATTCGCCTCCCAGCTTATAAACCTGATCAGAAAACCTGCTGCTTTGAACTGAGGCGAAAAACGGAACTTCCTCCTGGTGGCTGTCGCTGCTTCACCAGCACGAACAACACAAGGACGGGCTCGCGTTCGCTGTGCTGGGCTGATAACGGCGCTTCTAAGCGTGTGTCGTGGCTTTTGGCCTCACAGCAGACACAGAACCTGGGAGAGAAGCAGTGGAGGAGGACACGGAGGGATGAGCTACGTGCTTGTGGCATCTTCCGTCCTGCAGCCTGTATCGCTCCTCCGGGCCACAGCGATTCGAGCAGCCGGCGCCGTTACATAACGCGCACAGGCCACTGGCAGCGCGGCGTCCGCTCGCCATTACTGCCGATCATCAAACCCTCGCTGCGTTTGTTCGACGTCCGGTTCTGCAGCGGGAGAAACGCGAAGGCCCAACTGACGGAGACCGAGCTGTGAGCTCATATAGCCCGGCAGTGTCCGCATACGAGCGTATGGACGAGTTAGAGCGTCCAGTTATATAATTTCAGCGCTTTATCGATAACATTGAGCAGAGAGAGAGAGAGAGAGAGAGAGAGAGAGAGAGAGAGAGAGAGAGAGAGAGGTGGCATCACCAGCACCAGCAGTCTGCCGCCTTACGTAACAGCGTATGTATGTGTGTGTGTGGCTACCATATTCCAGTCCACAGCAGCACCGTCCTCAGCGCTGTTACAGTAACGGGGTGTGCGCGTGTGCGCGCCGGGCGGGTTAACGTTACATCCTCTGTGGCTCAAGTCCTTCAAACACGGCCTTCACGCGCCGGTTCAACCCTCAAAAACACATCTTAGTATTCCCGGCTGAATCTCGGTTAACATTCCAGCGCATCTCCTCCGCCTCCTCCTCCTCCTCCTCCTCCTCCTCCTATGTGGGCTGCTGCTGCTGCCACATTCCACCGAGGCAACAAACGGGTTGAAAAAGCGGCCGCCTTTTCCGCCACATTCAGCGCCGCATTCGGGCCGGAAAATTGGAAAATCGATCGTGAGGCGAGCAGCGCGTTCACAGCCACGTTTAGCATGTACGACCTCTGCGATGCGGCCAAAACAAGCGAAGCACGGGCGTGTTGAACGGTTTAACGGCAGCGTTTACCGTATCGGAGCGTTCATGTCGTTCATGCCGCAGCGTAGCGGTTTAAGTGTGAGAACTCGGTAACCTTACATTCTGGAAGAGGGACATTTCCGGAAAGATCTGGGAAAACTAAAGCAGGCGAAGGTTAGCGCTGCGCTAAATCAGCCGAGATGAGGCTGAAGCCCCTTAACACACACACACACACACACGGACTCGTAACGTACCGCGCAGTCAGTCCCTCTGACTCCCCTCAAAACACTCAAATGCTAAAAACAAAAATAATCTAAAATAATTCCACCACAAACTGAAAACCAGCGACGCCGCCCGCGCGACGACTCATCAACTAGAAAACGGTCTTGACTGGAGCAGCTTATATAAAACCGCCCGTTAAAGGACGGGAACGGGCTGGAGAGAGAGAGGGAGAGAGAGAGCGGGAGAGAGAGAGAGAGAGAGAGAGAGAGAGGGAGGCTCTGACTCACTCACCGCGTCCATCTCGGCGTCAGCATGAACACGAGCCGGTGGAGTCCGAGTCGTTCTCGGGGCCGCGCGCCGCTGTGTTTTTGTAGGCATCGAGGACAAAACACGGCACCGCTTCCCTCCCCGTCGCTTTCTCCGAGCCTGAGCCTCAGCCTGCCTCTCCCCCTCTACACACACACTGTCACACATTCGGTCTCACGGTTCTCGCTGCTCAGTGCGCCGCCTACAGGCCGCTTTGCTTTACTGCTCCATACGGCTGTGCGACCCTTCTGACGAGCTGATTCACCTGCCGCTCTCTGCGTTGTGTCAAAGACCCCAAAGCAGAACGGAAAGTGCACTAAAAATAAAGTTAATTATATTATTAGTGATAGTAAAATATCATGTTGCGAGTTGTGAAGGATTTGTTCTAACATGGTTCCTGTGAGATGCTTTATGACTGAAGCGGGAGATAAACAGGCATCGCGTCTGTGTTGTGAAGCTAACTGGTGAGGTATGTGGTTAAGAAATTGGATATTTCTGTGAGTCATGAATTTACGGTTGTGTCAGTATCTATATGAGGGGCCCGGTAAAGATTTGAGAGCCCCCATTGTGGTAGACCCCCACTCCCAACACCAGTAGTCACATTTCTGGTTCATTGGTTTTTAATTGGGCTTCAGTGGCCAACACTAGTGTACTCTGAGTAGCCTAATTTTAGGGCAGTACAGTCGTGGTCACCTGCCCCATATCAGCTCTTAGGTAACCTTCATGGTGGAGGCCTGTGGCCGTGTTGTATAATGTGGTGTAGATTAACCAGGTAACTCTTCATAAAGATACCCGAGCAACTGCCTCAGCCTTTAACACTGTACTCAGATCAAGTGAGTCGGCTAAAGCTAAAGCTGGAAGAACCGGTTTGTAGTGCAGCTGATACTGCAGGCTCCTTACAGTAGCAGAGGCAGACTTTAAAACTAGAGATATCAACCTGTGTGGTAGCCCTCTGACCGCGGCTATTACTCCACTTTCTGCTCTTTGGTGTGCAAATTTAAACCTTACATATCTGTGTCTTCCTGTCAGACTTTCTCATCACGAGCCTCCAGATATACAATGGGCTCAGTTCTAAACCGAGGTCTCGTAGCTACTGTAGCTACAGTTCTAGGTACTCAGCAACAGAAATGATATCACATTGTTATAGCAACCCGACACAAACTCAAGCGAAGTTTGCCGGATCATATAACACTTTCTAAACAGTTCCATAAACATGTCGTATTTAAACACTCCGACTGCACCGGCGAGGGCAGGACAAACATGTTGAGTGGACTTCTAGGTCAAACGATTGCCAGCCTGACAACATGAAAGTGCTGCAAGATAGGCTTTTTCCTGTGATAAGTTGGCCTTGTTGCTGCAAGGTGGTCTGTGTGATAATAGTTTAAACAAACTGTGCGTTGGACAGGAGGGAGTTTGAATGAAGGGGAAGAAACAAAAACTACGCTGAGGAAAAGTGACACTAAGAGGCAAAGCTTGGATCAAACCAGCTAAATAAATAGCAAACAAGGGAGAGACATGCAGTGTCTATGAATGTGGTAGTTTATACTTACGTTATAAAAACGATGGTTCTTTAAGGGTTCTGTAGTAAAGAACAGGGTTCTATATAGAGCCGTGAACACTCTTTGCACGATTAAGGGGTTCTTTGCCTTTTAAAATGGGTCTTCAGATTGATGGAGAATGTGGGGTATGTGGTTCTATACAGAACCTATTTGAAAAAGGTTATATATAGCAACCAAAAAGAGTTCAAGAGAAGAACCCTTTCTGGTGCTATATACAGAACCCCTTTCAAAAAGGTTCTATATAAAGGCATCTTAAGCACTTTCTCCCTCAATCTGAAGAATGATTTTTTGATGCAAAAAAACATTTATCATAACTAGCATAACTAATGACCCTCATACAAATGACCTTCAATAAACAAAAAATGACAACCTTTTTTCTTGCTATTTAATGTTGATTTGTCTGCAAAGTCATTCAGATAGTTTGATGCGAAACAGTTAACTGTACAGAAACATAGCGACTCTTTACAGCAGTAATCTCTAAAGTGTTCTTTGGGGACTATTTTGTTTTGCAACACCCTGCTATACATGAAGATGTTAAAAAAAAATCCAACTCTTTTCTTTAGAATGGATAAACCACTCATGAACCTCCCCCCCAAACACACACACACACACACACACACACACACACACACACACGCACACAAAGCACGTCGAAAGAGTATTCAAAGAGAATTCAGTCAAAACGTGGTGCAGGATGTGTCTTCTGAGGATGTATTTTCATCAGTATAATGTTAATTTTGCAAGCTGGACCTTTCTGAGTCTGTGTGTGTGACATTAATAGGCAAAGACACATGACACCATATTTTAGCCCGTTTTTTTTCTTTTGAATAAAAAAAAATTCTAGGGTCTAAAAAACCTTAAAAGAGTTCAATTTACTGAAAAACGTTTGTCCATAAGTTTTTACTTCCTCAAATGTCAGACAGCACACCCAAAAATAAAGGACTTTTATTTTAACTTGCTTTTACAAAAGAGGGCCAGGGTACTGCATCATAAAGAAGACCTTCATGGTGTAAAGCCAAGGTTAGTAGCCTTTTCACAAATGTTGGGAAAAAAAAAATTAAAAAAAAGTTTTTTGGAGTGGATAGATAGATAGATAGATAGATAGATAGATAGATAGATAGATACATAGATAGATAGATAGATAGATAGATAGATAGATAGATAGATAGAACTTTATTGATCCTGAAGGGAAATTGAAGTGTTTCAGTAACAAGACTAATAATATAATTGCATAAGTTAAAGTATAAGAGTGTAGGAATAGAAGTGCATCTATTTGCATATTTACATAACATATAAGACACATCTGTTGTATTTCCGTGAGAGCAGGTGTTGCACTGAGTGGTATGAGGTCTAAAATACAGTGATTATAAACATAACTAGGAGTGTCTGCAGTATTACAGTGTGAAGTGTGCAGTGAGAGTCATTACAGTAGCAGTTATGATATATTACACTGTGTGTATTAATCAGAGAGGAGATACAGTGATGAGGTTCAGCTCAGTTCAGACAGCAGGAGATCAGTATCGAGTGTGTGTGTGAATGTTTGTGTGTCAGAGAGTATGTGTGTGTGTGTGTGTGTGAGAGTGTATATCTGTGTATGTCTGGGTGCTGGGGTGTTGCTAGGCAATTGCCATAATTGGCACGTAGTTGCTAAGGTGCTGCTATGCGGTTGCTATGGTATTCCAGCTGGTTGCTAAAGCATTACCAACTGGTTGATAGATAATTGCTAGGTTATTGCTGGAGTATAACTAGATGGCTGCTATGGTATTTTAGGTGGTTGCTACAGTGATGACTGTCAAATTTCCTTCTATTTAATGGATTGATTGTGCAATTTTTGTTCTATTTTATAAAGTAACTGTGCATTTATTAAATTTTATTATATATAATATTATTGTTTATAAAAAAAACTTGCTGCAGAGGTTTTATTTACATCCTTTTACTTTACTAAAAATCAACAAAATGTGTAATCTGTCCAGTGGTTTCCAAACGTTTGCATACATTTTTTAAAGGAGCATTCTAGCCTAAATCTAGTTTTTAATGCCTTAAAATCTCAGGCTTATTACACACTAAGATTTGTAATTCAGTGACTGTAGGGACTTCAGATATATATGGAAAAAATTCCACGCCCACCGTGGCAGCGTGCTTTAGCTTAGGATGCTGAAAGGTTTGGGTTTTTAAGTTTACTGCTTTCATTCTTCTTTATATTACGTATATTTTAACTGTTTATATTGGGGGGCAAGTGTTGCATCAGTTGTTGGATTTATGTTATCCTGCGCTCTTGATAATGAGTGCTTAATCCTGCTATTGTTTTGTCTTGACTGGAAAAAAAATATGCGCTATTAGGACACTACCATTGTGGTGCTACATAACCCTCATGCAGCCTGCTGTGAGGTAGGGACCACCAGATCTTTGTGCCCAAAGCCT